ACCCTTCTCAGCCACGGCAGGCATCAACTGGTCCGTAGAGAACGCCGCATTATACAACCCCCAAGCGAACTACACCAATGTTCTCTACCACCTACACGTGCCAGGAGCCGAAGCAGCCGAACAGTACGCAGATCGCCGCGTGAACATTTACCCTGCTAAAGACTGTTACAACGCGGACCCGAACAGCGACGCCACCATGCCACCACTACTTCCCTGGTATGGCTACGACTGCGTCAGTGACAGAGATGGAAACTGCGGCACGATCGAGTATGATGTCCGCAGCTTCTACCTCCTACCAGGCACAAGGGAAAGGGATCAGTCAGGCCGATGTTTATTGTCTGCGAAATGGGGTGCTGCCTCGAGTATTTACTCGTCTTCTCGTGTCATTTTAGGCGCCGCTTTGAGCGCGTCTCTGGCCATCTGGTATGCCTGGTAGTCATGATAGTCCTGTGTTAGTTTTGTACTTGACAAGCAGTCGCCTACATGAACGCCTTTCGTTGAACTGTAGATCGTATACAAAACTATTTATACCTGTACATGGACTATGGAATGTGTTCCAAACTATATCACATGTTCGCCGACGCTACCGTCACTAGCCACCTCGTTAACAATACCACTTTTGAGTGTATCATCCTACCTTGTTCTTTCTCATCCTCTCCTTCCTCATGTATTGCCACACCCAACGACACGCAGTGTAAAACCCACACCTAGACCATCATGATAGGACCCCAAGATCTCATGAAATGCAGCGCCCCCGTACTCCGCAAGCACTGCATCAGCCAGCGAGCGACACCGCAGAGCCACATAGGCAGACAAGGGAGCACAGAACAGGACAAGCAAAGCAAACAGCACGGAGAAGATCGAACTGTGCGCAACTCCCGCAAATTCAACGCTCTCGTGAGACAAAGTGATGCTTAAAAGACAAACGAATAGTGACAATAGAGGAAGCGGGACCATGACTGACACCATCTGAATGGACGGCCCAACAAGGTGCGCTCCACACTGTGACTACCCGACGTAACTGGAAAGTCACTATCGCCTCATGTGTACTGAAGATGGTGGGGCCCGCCCTTCCACGACCTCAGTGCAGAAGCGGCATGCCTTCAGCATGACAATATGATGTGGTCGGCGAAGCTGGTCTCGCCGCCCACATATACCAGAAACGATCCAAGACACCACCTCGCACCTAACAAACACGCGAGCGAGGATACCGGGGTAAGCAGCCACGAATATCATACCATGTGCTACAGCCATCACATCCATCGACCCCTCAATACACAAAGCTACACCCCCACACATCTCATCCACTAACCCCCTCCATCTCCAAACCACACCCGGAGGCAACATGCCCTCACCTCCTCCCACCACCAATATCCTGGCCCAACCTATACCCACTGATCTTCTCCCACTCAATCTTCTGCCTCGTAATCGGCAACTGCCTCCTCAGCGCCTTGAAAGCACCTTCACTCAGACTACCAAACGCCCTGTTAAGATCCTCCTGATACTTCTTCTCCTCAGCAGCAATCTTCCTCACGACCTCGCTTCCATTCGCACTGGCGCCCGCACTCAGGCTCACCTCCTTGGTCGTAAGCAGACGCACGTTGCCGTCTTCGTAGTAGTGCACGTCTACTTTTATGCTGCCGGTGATGGAGCCGGAGGACGTGTCGTAGATGTAGGAGCTGCGCCAGCGGCCGTTCCAGTAGTTTGTGGGGGAGTACTTGTTTGCGACCGTGATAATGGCGAGGGAGGAGGGGGAGGAGGGCACGGGGTATACGCCGTGAGAAGACTTGGGGTAGTGTTCTGAGGCGTGGGTGCTGAGGGACTTGTTTAGGCTCTTGCTGTTGGGGTGAGGTTAGGTTAAGCTTTTATGCGGCATGGGTGTGTTGGTAGCCAATGGGTGTGCGAGAGGGATGCGCGGAGATATTGGCTTGGCGGGGGGCGGGGCGGAACGTACAGGAGCTCTTCTTGTGCGCTTTCTACGACGTAACTCTGCACAGCGCTGGCTTTGCCCGTGGCGTGGTCAAAGTCGAAGGAGCTTTGTGTGTCGATGTCGTAGTAGCGGCCGTCGCCTAATGAGTTGTACTGGCTGACTAGGACCTCGGTGCTGCCGCCGGGGAGCTTCGTTGTGGTGAATTGCTCCTCGTTGTACTTTTGGAAGGCGGGCGAGAGCTCGTTTTGGACGGCGTCGTCGCCGAGGATTGACTTGATTGCCTTGGTGACATCGGCGAGCTGTGGTGCTGTTAGCAGGTGCACTGTTGGGAGGGGAGCTCTGTTTTGGTGGGGGAAGTACCTCGCCAGGCGGCGCGCTGTCGATGAAGGAGGAGAGAGCTGCTGTGCGTGACATAGCTGCGATTTGGCTATGTAGCAGAGGGCGGGTATGCTTCTGTGGTTGTCTCAATTGTTTGGCGCGTCGTGGAGTTGCGGGCGGACGTCGAGGCGCGCAGCCGCTTAGTGGGGCAAGGGCCAGCAGGGCGAACAGGGGTCAAACATCCATGTGCCCATAGTCGATTGCGGAGGAAGCTACGCCAACAATGCAGTACACGGGGACGATATTCGCAGTTCTTGTTTCATATTGAATTTGGAAATTGACAATGGGTATCTATATATATCGAACAACTATCGTTGGCCTCATTAACCCTAGAACGCCGCGCTAAGATTGGATCAATGCTAACAATATCCTACAAGAAGTCATCTATGGCCATCACTCAATGCTCATCTTCATCAAGCCGTCATTGGTATCTGTCATGCCCTGCAGACCTATCCGCTTTGGGCCCAGTGTTGGCGTCATGCTCATGCTGCCTCCACTGTTTGAACGCTCACCGTGTGATTGACCGCTGATCGATGTCTCCCGACTGGCTTTGGGATTCGTGCCCCAAAGACTGCTGTCTCTCTGTGCGGGCGATTGCGAGATGACCGGGCTGTTGTGAACACTGAGGCCTGGGGAAACAGCACGCCGTTTGATCGAAGCTTCGTCAAAGTCGTCGTCTCGTCGGCGTTTGTTCGACTTCTTCAAAGCCTCAGCTGCTGTGGGGGGCTGCATTGGACCTGGTGTAGATGCTCGGGATGCTCCGCCATTCATGGAAGGCGAGTCCATGTTCATGTCCTCGCTCATTGCGGATGACTCTGCGCGAGGGAAGGATGGCGGTGGAGTATGTGCGGCGCGTTGGTTCCAGAATCCGTTGCTTATCGAGTTGCGACCACTGTGAAGACTACCGAATGCACCAAAAAGTCCCTTAGACGTTGATCCGTCCAGACTCATGTTGCTCTCGCTGCCCTCTTCCGGCACACCCTCGAGCGGACCGTCCAGCCCGGGTACTGTGGGTAGTAGATTTGGCGATGATTGTGCGGTGTTAGAGGGCCGCTCCAGATCCGTGTCGCTTTCTCTCACTTGTCGGATGATCTCGGCTTCGCGGCGGAACTCGCTATCAACAGGTGCGGCTTCTTCGAATAGCTCCGCTCGGATGCGACCGAATTGCCTCGATTTGGGCTAGTAAAGTTAGCATCTGATGTCTGCGTGACAACGGAAGTACATACCAGTAGATTGCCTCTCCGTGTGACAACCCGCCTCACCACACCTGGAGTCTGTGGCAGATTACCGCCCTCGTCTCCGCTGTCATTACCAGACGAGATGTGAAGGTCGTTGGCAAAGAGCGACAGGCTCTCTCGTCGTGATCCCGCTTTCCGCATAGCCGCTTCTCGCGCAAAGTACCCCGTGTCTTTGCCGTTTGGCGGCGATGCTGGCCCAGGGCTTGCCATGGAGCTGTGTCCGCTGGCTGAGCTGGAGCTCTTCCGACTACGACCCTTGCGCAATCTTGCCCTATGCATGCTCGCGAAGTTGGGCTGTCCACCAGGCGAAAACAAGTTCGACCAGGCGTTACCGGTATTGAGTCCGGGGAAGAGAGTGTTGGTCTTCGCCTGCGGGGTCATGATCATAGGGTCGTCGTTATCCTCAGGGTCCAGCGGGTCCACCTCGTCCGAAGAGCTACTAGAGTCCTCCGAGCCCATCATGTTGATGCTGCCGACAGAACTGGACGGGGCGGTTCTATCGCCATGGCTCCAGCCGCCTTGCATGCTCACATTGGGCGAGTCCAGCAGCATCGAGTTGGAGCGAGGCTTCCGCGGCGGTATCTTGATGCCCTTCTGCGTGATGGTCGGCGAGGAATCCGGCGAGGATTGGTCGGGGAGGGTCGAGTGGTGGAGGTTGGTGCAGGCTCTCGAGAACTCGGCACCGCGCGACCGTCGGGGCAGCACAGAGGCAGGCGACGCGTACGTGTTGCGCGAATCTAGCTGGGGCGAGAGGGGCACACGGGCAGCGAAGTGGGCGGGACTGGGCATGGGCGACTCTCGCGCAGGCATTTGCAGCGACAGGCCTCGCGAGAGGAAGTCGGGTCGACGCGGTGTGCTGGGGCTGGCGACGATGGTCTGATCATCTTTGGACATGCGAGCGGGTTCGCGGAATTTCGGGGAGGGCTCAAGACGGGGCGTGCTGTCCGAGAGCGACCGTGCTTTGGGCGAATTCGTCTTTGACGGCGTTGTCGCCAGTTGAGGTTGCGACTCCATCATGGCTCCCTCGCCCTGTTCGGCGGTACTGCGCTCGCTACCGATGTCTGGCGTCAGCGTCAACATTGAGGTGGAAGGTTGATATCACAGGAAGCGACCTGAAACGCATTCTCTCAGCAGCGCGCTGTGATCAGAGTCAAATTGTCGGGACTGGTGAATGGCCCGTCCGTTGAACGTCAATGTTACGAAGCGGGGCCTCTCGTCACGTGCAAGCTACCGTCATGGGTGAACCATGCTGTGAGGCTTTACCTACAACCACGCCCTTTGAATATCTCTGAAATTGAAACTTTTGTAGCAAAGGCTGTTTGCATCAACTGTAGTACTATACGAAACATATTAACAACTTCCATACGCCTTCGGTATGATGTTGATCATGACGCGTAGGCCACCCATAGATCACCCGTGCCTTCGTACCCCTGAACACTCTTTTCATGCTATTGCTAAGAGTCCACAATTCCTTGCACCCACTCAATGTCCTCCCAAGTTGCTTCCCAGATGTTGAGGACTGTCATTGTCCATTCCTTATCCTCGCGCTTCATGGTGCCAATGCAGCGGCAGATCCGCCCTTGCTGTAACAGTCTTCTGCTGTCGTACTCGAAGAGCTGCACCGACTTCCAGATAGCAGCATTATACACTGCCTTGATGTAAGGTGGCTTGGCGTGGAAGAGGTCGCAGAAGGTGAACTGCTGCTCTGTACTAGTCCGCTCAGAAGCAAGCACTCTGGCATACATCTCAATCATGATGTGCTTCCCTGATTTGGATGCCTGACAGCTTTGGTTAATCACTTCACCGATGCGGAAACATGTCCTGAGCAGTAGGTTTGACGAAAGACCGATGATGGGTGAGCGATCACGGACAGCCTCTGGAAATGGTGGCCTGACAAATGGTTTGCGTATCTTCGATGAACCTAGATCGCCAGTTGCGGCTTGCAGGCGCGTCGTGAGAGTGACCGGGGAAGTGAATTGCTTTGACACGGGCTGACAGGTCTTCTTGTCAGGACTTCCATCAAGTATGATAGGGGCATCCGCACAGGTGCCGGGAGGGTGACGCAGTCTGTCATCGTCCCTGTCCCCGGGCTGCACAGAGCGGTTCAAAGCAGCATTTGCAAGGTCAGGACATGCGTCGTCAATCTCGGATGTCAATGTGAGCAGGTCATCATCGTTGATGTCAAAGTCGAAGTCGTCTTGCGCAAGCATCGAGTTCTCAATCTGAAGTGGTGCGACGGGAGCATCAAGTTGTTCAGGTTCACTGGTATCAAAGTCGTTATCGTCGAAATCAAACTCGCAGAGTGCGGTCGGATACTGCACAGACATTGCGGCTACTGTATCTTGGCTAACATTTCGTATGGTTTCAGGACTCGCGAAACCATAATCTGTCACATTGCAGGCTTGACTGAGGTGGTCCTGGTGTGAAACCGCCGTTCCGTTGCCGGTTGTTGTCGATCGTGGTGTTTGCGCATCGTCAACAAATATTGACTGCGGCGTTGTCGTCGATAGTGAAGCCTTAGATCTAGAGGCTGCGGAATTGCGTGCAGGCTTCTTTGTCCGAAAGCTCTCCGACACACGAGGTTGATCGGGGAGTCCGTTTCCTTCCGGATTCACGCGTCTGCCATCTGATGTGCTCCCTTGGACGGCCAACCGAGGTCGCTTGCGTCGAGGTTTTGGAGGCGGGCTACGCGGCAATGCCGGCGAAGGAGCATGTATCTCGAGATGCGTTGGCTCGTCCGCGTCACCAAGACCAAGATAGCGCGCGACAGTAGAATTGTGTCGCCGTCGCTCGTGCACGGCGGCTCTCCGGCGCGCCTGGTTCTGCTGCACGGGTGCCGCGGTTGACGAAGGAGGCGTCGATAACTGCGTCGAGGGCTGATTGATGGCCGTGAAACTAGAAGTTGACGAGCGAATGTGATTGCATCTGCATACTTCAGGTTAGTTCAAGCGATATGAGATAAAAGCAACGTGTAGTGAGAAAAGGTGAGTGAGCGCGCGTCGGGCTTCTCACGCGTCATCCCCAGTTCGTTCTCTCGTTGTCCCCGTGTCCCCATCGTGATGCAGCGCGTTCGATGGATCCATGCTGACTCTATGCGTGAAGCGACACGATAAAGTATGGAAGCGGAGTGAGATGTGAGGTGAAGAGGGTTGGTGTGGTGGGTCGCGACTTCCATGGTCCCTTACTCAGCCCAAAGCCACCCCACTGCGGGGGGCTTGCGCCCGACCAAGCAACCATAGCTTCATCTTATCGCGTGCGCATAGGCAACCATTACTACTTAGACTTCCGCTACGAAGCTCTGCCACCAGCTCTGACTTCCTGCAAACTTTGCACCACTCGTCAACACATGTTCCGTTGAACCCCGAGTGTTCTATTCTTATCTGTAACACCGGCTCTCTGCTTCCAGACCGACCCTCCGACCTTTCTCAGACCGTGGTGCAAACACCAGACCCTGATTCTGTCCAGATTCGTTCTGACAGCTAAGCAAACATCCTGTTCGGGGTGCTTTGTTTTTCTCGCCTCCCAAATATAGCAGGTCTTACCCTGAAGGGTCAAACGAAGCGACAAACGTACGATGCCTGTAAGTTCTTCTTCAGAGTCGTTTCTCCTTAAGGGCGTTCAAATACCATGTTCTCTTCCGCAGCAGCCCCGTTTCATTCATCCTTCAAATCACCATTCCTACCATAGTCATGATTTCCCACGCTTCTTGGTACGACGGACAACCGCTTCTCTACGGAGAGACGCTTCGTAGAACTTCTTCTTCGTATAGCAGTGCATCTTCTGAACTGCAAGCACTTCCCTTATACCGCAAAAGTCTGTCATTATCAAGCGAGTCGTCAGTCGAGGCGTCAATCGAACCCCCTCGCAAAACACTTCACCACCACAAGGACCCTAAAGCATATGCGGACCTTCCGATTTTCGAGAACCCTTGCCCGCTGTGCTTCTTTGAACACTGTCACACGGTACTAAGAACATGGATCAAACGTAGAAGCACGCTTTCTCGGCTGTCACGGTCCAGATCGATCGATTGACGAGCGAGCAATACGAGGAGAATGTAAGTTGTTCTATCGAGATTGCTGGTCTCATGCTAATTAGTACAGGATGTCGGTGGTGTCGTTGATCTCATCGAGGTCATCCGCATCCAGGCATCTGGTCCTACGGAAGCAGCACGAGCTCTGCGTAAGAAGCTGTAAGCCATATTCCCGCACATCCACAATATGCACTAACAAGTCCGCAGCAAGTATGGAAATGTACATCGCCAGATCCGCGCGCTTGTCATAATGGACGCTCTGATTCAGAATGCTGGTACAAGATTCCAGAAAGCGTTCGCGGATGAGCCACTTCTTGAGCGACTCCGCATCCTGGCTAGGGACGACACAGTCGATGCTGAAGTACGGCAGAAGGCCAACGTTCTGTTCCGAAGTTGGGCTGTCGCATACAAGGGAACGCCTGGCCTTGAGCGGATAGCTGCACTACACAAAGAACTTCCTCGTACCAAACGTCCTCAGCCACAACAATCTCGAATTGTGCGACAGCAAGATGCCGAAGCTGCGCGCGAGCGTGAGGAGCATTCGCAGTCTCCTCCCAGAAGCAGGCGACCGGAGCCACCCCACACTTCTTCTTCACGAACCACCACACCTGTTGTCCTCGGTGCCGGTACCCCTCTTCCAACAACCTCACTTTTCAAAAGGGATAAGAAGGACAAGAAGAAGACCAAGGGGCAGCCGTTCAACCTCGAGAAGGAGAAGGGCCAGATGCTTGAGACAATGGCATCGGCAAATGTCGCCAGTACGAACCTACTGAATGGCCTGCAACTCATCAACCGAGAGCAACAGCGTGTTAGCGAGAACGCAGAAGTTATGCGACGCTTCGAGACGTGCAAGCAACTGCGTCGCCAGATCTTGCGCTACATCCACTTGGTCGAGTCCGAGCAGTACATTGGCGGTCTTCTCAACGCCAACGACGAGCTAGTCAAGGGCCTCATGGCATTCGAACTCATGGATAAGAGCATCGACGATGACAGCGATAGTGATAACGAGGAGGGTAATGTGTCTGCCGCTGAAGCAGCTATGGCGAATATGGGTTTCAATGAGTCCGCCCCTCCGAAGCCGCCTAGGCCCACGAGCATTCCCATGCCTCCGCAGCGCGTCGAGCCGGACAGTGAGCCGGAGGAGGATGAGGATGACCCGTTCGGAGACAGTAACGGTAAGACTACTGCAAACATTCTCTTTGGCCTAGCTAACGCGCCACAGCTGTTAAAACACCCTTCGCAGAGAAGGGCCAACCGACCTGGAGAGACGTCTAAGCTATCAAAGACACGATACGGACACGACCTGCATGTTCAAGGCGAGACACGGTATTGGGCTTTCCTCATCTCATGTTCAGCAATACCCTTTCCTACCGTTTCACCATCTAGATAGATCTCAATACAACATTTCCACAACATCTGCCATGCATTTCCATCTTCTGCATGCCCCGCGCGCGCCTCTGACCGAACGCGCGGCATTAGCCACGTTCACTGCCACGCGGGCGACGTCATGCAGCCCCTAGCGTCGGCCTGTCATTGGCCTAGCGCCACGCGCAGCATTGAAGCAGGGCTGGATGCCCTCTGCGACCGTATTAATCTCCCCTTTGCCTCCTCGACAAGACCGCCTACTATCCCGCTACAAACCTCACCTTTCACGCACCTTCATCGCATAAACTGTTAGTCCAGCCCTGATCTCGTGGCCGCGAACACCGCTAACGTCATCGCAGCGCAACTCCGTCATCTCTCTGAACCAACAGTCACGAACCCGCGACCGTCAACCTCCGAGTCATAACACGTCGTAAACTCACTCGATCTTCGCATATTCATACCTCGCAATGCCTGCCTCTACCAACTCTGTTTCTTCGGCCGCTGGCTCGATCGTTAAGCCTCAGGGCGGAAAGTGCAGCTGCATCAGCACCGATGACTGCAGTTGCTGCTGCATTCCCTGCACCGTCATGTAAACGCGACGACAATATGAAGAGCCGCGTGCGGCTTCTACGGACAACAGCACATGTGCGTGCCGGAGCGGTGACGGACGGCACGCGCGAGGCGAGTGGCACGATAAGGGAAGGACGATTGGCATACGGTGTTTTGGGACATTTTGAGCGACCTCATTAGGTATAGCGAAAGCGATCACATGCGCTCAAGGCAATGAGGCTTCGAGAGCTTTGATTTAGGGTTCGGAGTCTTCTGGAGTGTTGCATTGGATTGATGGCTTTATACCAATACCATACCTATATTTCGAATTACACAATTCGTTCACATATAAACTCTACATCTGCTTAGCAAGTGTAACTTTACCATGAAGACGCGTCTTGTAAATTCACTCCCAGTCAATATCGTAGACATGCCTACTCTGAATTGTCAAGATACACCAGCGCCAAGCGGCCCCATCTGAAGCTAGTCCGGCAGCCGGGCAAGCAGGGCTGAAGCATGGCAGTTGTGGCGCGCTGGCGCGATGACATGGCGTCACCCAAGTGCGCCCGAAGCCTATTGCCTTGTAAACCTCATTTCTGACATCTCAACCCGATTCTCACCGTTGCAAACTTCTCTGGATCATATCTTTTCTTGTTGTACATATCGCATTCTATTTGTAAGTCGGGTTGCCATGGTTTGATGCATACATTCGCTAATGGGTCTGATAGTGCTTGAGACGCCAACCCCCCTTGCGCACATCGAATCCTTCGTCTCCGCCCTTACGACTCCATTCGGTATCGCCTCTTCTCGCATCGCATCGCATTCATCCGCCGCACAGTCTTCACCGTAATCAGCAAATATGCCCGCGTCTACAACTTCGAGCACGACGTCTATCGTCAAGCCTGGTCCCGTCAAGGCGCCATGCTGGTGTGGTGATGATTGCCAGTGCTGCGTCATCCCATGCACCGTCATGTAAAACTCGACGATGGATAGAGGGACGATGAACATATATACCAGGGCGCTTCAGGAGTTACTTCGTTTGGATATGTTGTTTGAGCATGCGCTTGGGAAAGAGCTGGATAGGAGGAGGAATGTGACGAGGCACGAATCACGCATCGCATTGCTTGCTATTTATTGCGCATCTTAGCGTGACGTGCTGTTATGAAATGATGGTATTCCTATCTGCACCAAGTCTCTCATGGCAAACCTGTCGCTTTCCTAGTCATCGGAGGATCGATCATCTTCCTCAAAAGATGACACAGTCACGCGACGAAGCCGGCACCGCCATCGAAGACTTACTACCAATTACACAGCTATGCAGGATTTTGTACATGTGGCCTTCCGCCACAAGCTCTCCTCACCCGGTCGCATCGGCGTCACCTT